CCTAAACCCTAAACCCTAAACGCCGGCCTTGTGCGAGTGTGAGAGTCGAAACCCTAAACCCCGCAGGATCCTGCAAGATACCGCGTGCAACATACTCTCGCTCAAAGGTGGGACGATTCGGCTGCCGATTCTGGCAACCTTGAGCTCAGAGCTCAGGATTTTCACGGTTTCGGGTTTATAGGGTTTATAGGGTTTATAGGGTTTATAGGGTTTATAGGGTTTATAGGGTTTATAGGGTTTATAGGGTTTATAGGGTTTATAGGGTTTATAGGGTTTATAGGGTTTATAGGGTTTATAGGGTTTATAGGGTTTATAGGGTTTATAGGGTTTATAGGGTTTATAGGGTTTATAGGGTTTATAGGGTTTATAGGGTTTATAGGGTTTATAGGGTTTATAGGGTTTATAGGGTTTATAGGGTTTAGGGGTTTAGTGGTTTAGGGGTTTAGGGGTTTAGGGTTTAGCGTTTAGCGTTTAGGAATCCGTGGAATCCGTGGCATCCGCTGCCTGAGCCCAACGGGGGTTTACGATAATAAGGGGCCCCTGATATAGACCCCCACATAGCAGGACCCCCTTGTATTATAATAAGGACCCCAAGAGGGTACCCCTAAACCCTAAACAATAAATCCTAAACCCTAAGCCCTAATTTCGGAACCACTCAAATGTCAAACGCATTCTTCGGAAGCTTCAAGACACCTGAGGATGACCCGGCGCGAGCTGGCGGGAAGCTTAGGGGTGAAAAAGGGTCCGCAGCATGGGCCGCTTGGTGTGGGCCTAGCCCTAAACCTAAACCCTGAAAACCCAAACCCTTAACCCTAAACCCTAAACCCTAAACCCTAAACCCTAAACCCTAAACCCTAAACCCTAAACCCTAAACCCTAAACCCTAAACCCTAAACCCTGCTCCGAGGACAGGCTGCTCTACAGCAGCCCCCTCCGAGGCGCGGAGCTTGGTTCACTTGGGCCCAAGTTTCGTCTGCGCATGTTCCTGATAGCTTCCTAATAGCTTGGTAGGTGAGTAGGTAACTTTTGCGTAACCTTTTGGGGTGTAGATAAGTAGTCCTACCCTACTTGTAAAGCTCACCTTTGTTGGCCCAGGGTACTCAGCAACTAGGATACCCCCTTGATGGCGCCGTACACGCCTGAAGACCCTTTTGGGGCCGCAAGCGGCGCGGGCGGTTCACTGCGCCAAGCTGAGGTGAGCCCCGAGTGGTCTTCGAAAACCCGGCCCTGGCTTGGGCCTCACGAGGGCTTGTTTCCATGTTCGCTCCAAAGGGGGCTTTAAGCAAAAAAACATTCTGCGTGGTTTGAGAGCTGAATGTGGCTTGAAGCGGTGCCGATTCTGACGACAAAAAGAGACGCCCCGACATCTTTGTGGCCAAGCTGGCTGCCCACAGTCATGCCCATGTGCTGACCAGCACCCACATGTCAACGGCAGAATGGTGTGGGCAGCCCTGAGGCCAGACCCATCTCTGTCGAGCAGGAGGCCGATTCAACTGTGTATCACGTCCCGGGGGCGCAGGGGGCGCCGCTGCTGCGGGTATCAGTAGGCTGACCACACATGCAGACATCCTCAAGTCGGCAGGTGGAGAAAGACAGGAGTGCCGCCCCCCCGGAGTTGCTTGATCTTGTGGATTGGCTGCTCTTCACTGCGTCATGTTGCCCAGGGCGAAGATTGCACGGGCTGCATCGTTTGGCAGCATCCTCAGCGCCTGGATTTCTCACAAGAATGTCGGAGAATGGTTTAAGTTCGGTGCGTGTGTGTGGGTGTGTGTGTGTGGGTATTGGGCCGGCAGTAACCATGCTCGGTGCGGTGCAAGGCCTTCTGCGCACGCCATGTGTGCACATTTGTGCGCGGGCATCCGAGCGAATTCTTCAGAAGGTCTCATTCATATGCATGCCGGATTGCACTCGGGATCCTACACCCTACACCCTAAACCCTCAACCCTAGGCCTACCCGGAGCTGGTGCGTGGCAAGCGAGTCGTGGAGCTAGGCGAGCTCGTGGCATTCAAGTGTTTGCGCATGTGAACGTGGTGTGGTGGCGCAGCATGTGACCACGTCAAGAATCTCAAGACAAGCGTTCCCGTAGTCCATGTTACGCACACGCACACACATAGATTGACCCTTCGAGGGAGAAGAAGACGAAGATTTCGTTGCGGTGTTTGCTGGCTTCGGTTTCCATGGCATGTGCTTGGATAGGGGCTGCTAGCCTTTCACGATTGGTCTTGGAAGAGCGCGATTGTTTGATGTTTAAGGAATGCCACGCTTCAGTAAGAGACCTTAGGCCTTCGGCCCGAAGAAGCCTGCCTCTTCCGACACCCTGAGTCGCCTCTGTGGGGCTCTAACTATCCCAAGCGGCCTCAGTACCTCAAAACCCTCAACATCCCTAGTGAGGGAATGAGGCACCTTGCATCTTAAGGGCATTCTATAGGAGGTAACGGAACCCCCCACCTTCTCTATACTTAAGCTATATGCCCTTTAAAGGAACTTCTACAGGGGGATACCGAACACCCACCTTCCCCTACTTCGAGCCCCGGTAGATCCCCCCGAAGCCCTTCGCCGCGGAGAGGCGCTGGCACGGGGCTCGTTGGCCTGGTTTGCGGAGCTCTGGGGGCTGCTGAAGTGGTGCCTCTTAGCGGGTTTAGGGTTTAGGGTTTAGGGTTGAGGATTTAGGGTTGAGGGTTGAGGGTTGAGGGTTGAGGGTTTAGGGCGGGGCTTAGGGTTTCAGAGGGGTTGTTGGGTTTACAGGGTTTAGCTGATTTGGAGGGTTAAAAGGGTTTATAGCATTTGTAGGATTTATGTGGGTGTGTTGGCTTAGAAGGGCAGGGCTACGGCCGGATGCGTTTTAGGGCTTGTTCGCGTGTGCCCGCAAACACGATGCCATGAGGGGCGCCACTACCCTAGCGAATGGCCAGGGTGTTTTCGCGTTTTGTTGGGTTTCCGGGTTAGCAAATGTTTCAGAGTCCAGCTGTCGGGTGCAGGGTCTGGGCAGTAGTGTAGTAGTGTAGTGGTTATTGTAGGCTTTCTTCGGTTGGCGTGGCGCGCCCAAAGCCACTGAAGAACCCAGCAGCATATGCTCTAATCCCTCGGCCTTTTTTTGGGTGTTTTTTGTGGCATTCGAGGCAAATGCATGGAGGGGTAATGCCCAACCCCCCAACACAACCCTTCCCTCAGAGAACCATCTACCCAAACCCCAACAGAACCCTAAACCCTAAACCCTAAACCCCAAACCCTAAACCACTTGCCCGCAGGTACTTACAGATCTGTCACAGGGCCTCCCGCTTCTGAAGCGCAACGTGCAGCTCAATTTGGAAGCGCTCGGCCATTCCAGCCGCATTGTAGGGCTGAGGGCTACAGGGCGCAAGGAGGGCTCTTAGAGGGTTCATAGGCTTCGCAGGAATTTTGTGGGGTTTAGCCCGGCCTTACCGAGTTTATCGAGTTTGTAGGATTTTGGGGGGGGTTTCCGGCTTGGGGCTGGTCTTCCTGCCACGGACCTGATGCCCAGAAGCACTCCAGAATCGCACCTTCTAGCGCAGGATCCATAGGGATTCCACTACCATGTGCTTATTAAGAACCCCCTATATTTTCCTTGTAAGAAAGATTTTTTTTTTTTGGGGGGGTTCTTAACAAGGCCGTCTGGGGGTCGATGTTCGTGCGGGTTTTGGCGGATCACGGTTTTCCGGGTTTCAGTGATCAGGGCATCCGGATGTAAAAAAGAGTTTTGTGATCTGGCCAACATGGCCTGTTTGATCGGCCTGGCAGGTGGAGCAGCCACCAGGGTCGCCGAGTTGAAGTGGGGCAAAGAGGCGGGAACTCGTCGAGACTCCCTACTACAAGTTCCGGCGGAGGGTTTTGCAGAGAGAAATGGCACCCAATGGCCGTGAGGGTCTAGTATCCTTCCTTCCTTGCTCACCTTAACCCTAATAAAACCGTAAACCCTAAACCCTAAACCGGCTTCGTTGCCAATGCAGCTAGGCTTCCATGCAAGTTGTGCCGGGACCCCCGAAGTTGTTGCAAAGAGGGCATGCATTGGGCATAGTCACTTCAGTAGCCGAGGCCACAGGGCTGTGACGTGGTGGTTGGCTGTTTGCTGCTCGGTCGCCGCTTGCGTTCTTGTGACTGCCGGCATTTTTTTCATGCGCTGCCTGCTTAGGTGAAGTCATCTACCAGCATGATGACGAAACCTCGGCTGCTTTGGTTGAGACCATGCGCCACCTCGCTGGGAAGGCTCCTCCTTGCTTGGTTTCCCTTGCCTTCCCATGGCGGGCGCGCCAAAGAAGTTCTGCTTCTCAACAGATACTGCAGCAGAGCCACTGCGATCTTGAGCAATCTTGAGCACCTCTCGTGCCATAGGATGGCTGCTGCCTGATGGCCTACGAGTTTCGAGATGGGCTGATGCAGGCTTTGAGACCTGCGCATTACTCCTATGCATTCCGGCTTTTCCATTCTTGACGGTTTTGTATCATATGGGGGTTTCCGAAATTGGGGGTACCTTATTGGGTCCCTAGTAGAAGGGAATCCTACTATGTGGGGGTCTATATTCGGGGTCCCCGATCTGGGCGGCAACCTGCGTTCATCGCAATGTTGGCCCGAACTTGTCAGCTTCTTTTCATCTTTTGGAAGCCATCAGCGCCTCTCGTTCTGCATTTAACTCTGAGCATTGGGATGTTCCGCCTTTTCTAACAGTCCTTAGTAGAGGCTATAACCGGGGACGATAATCCCTATGAAGGACTGTTAGTCTAAAGGGGGGGACATCCCAAGCTGAGCATGCAGGTCAGGCCTTGCTGTTGAGCTTCCCTGTTTGCTCCTTGAGGTTTCATAGGCGGAACCATGTTGTTCGGCGTCCTGTCCTTGCAAATCGCGACTTGGCTGTTTGCCTAATCGTCACATTTAAACCCCCACCCTCGGCCCTTCCTGCTTTAGAGTTTGACGTCGACAGAAAAGAAGATAGGAGGAGGATGCGATTTCGGGGCGCAGGGCTTGAGATTGCTTTTGGGAGTACGATGGCGGGGATGCCAACTCATAAGGTGAGAAATGCTCACGCCATGGTCTCCAAACCCTAAACCCTAAACCCTAAACCCTAAACCCTAAACCCTAAACCCTAAACCCTGAAATGAACGAAAAACAAAAACTCCTTAAAAAGAGCGCCGCAAAGCACAGTTCAGGCTCTCTTGGGCTTGGCGAAGCCGTCTGAGCTTGGACACTTGGATGCTGACGACGAGTGTACCGACTCTGCTGAAGGCCGCGGCATGGCTGACGTATGAAATATGTCTGATACTACCAGGAAAAATAAGTTCATGACATATACATATATACATATATACATATATACATATATACATATTTACATATTTACATACATACATACATATATACATATATACATATATACATATGTACACACATATATATATATATGTATATATACAGATAACATGTATGCGGTATATATATGTATATGTATATGTGTGTGTGTATGTACGTAGGCGTATGCAAAAATATACATGTATATATATACACACACACACGCACTCTCGAATCTATGCAATGCAAAGACCTTGCGGCGCTTTGGTGCGTCAGACATATTCGGACAGGAAGCTGCAGCCTCGCGGCGCTGCAGACTCGATCGCTGGTGGCGCACGGCGTCGATGCAACGTACTTAGCACAGGACTGGGTTTAGGGTTTAGGGTTTAGGGTTTAGGGTTTAGGGTTTAGGGTTTAGGGTTTAGGGTTTAGGGTTTAGGGTTTAGGGTTTAGGGTTTAGGGCCTATCTGGCATGAAGCAGCTTCCAGGATCAAAAAGGGTTTAGGCCCTCGGGATATTTCATGTTTTCCCTTATGGGGGCATTTTTTCCCGAGGGTTTAAAGGGGCCAACCAAGGAGAGGAGCATCAGGAGCCAGTTTTCTAGGTGTGGGTTCTCTGCTTTCAGCGCACACCGAGACTAGTCCCTAAACCCCAAACCCGAAACCCTGAACCCCAAACCCTAAATCCTCAACCCTGAACCCTGAACCCTAAACCCTAAACCCTAAACCCTAAACCCAGTCCCTGGTTCATCTTGCAGGCAGGTCCAGTTCTGCCAGAGTCCGCTCTTCTGGACATGGACAGGTTTCGAAGCTATGGTCCCCCTGTTAGATAGTGCGGCCCCTGCCCTAAACCCTAAACCCTAAACCCTAAACCCTAAACCCTAAACCCTAAACCCTAAACCCTAAACCCTAAACCCTAAACCCTAAACCCTAACGGGTGCCCACAAAACGGGACCGCAGCTGATCATGTTTCCCTTGGAGAGCGGCATCGTTTCTGTTTGACCCGAGGTCGTCCCACCTCCGCCCAGCTCCGCAGCCAACTCCACCGGAGCACCTGGCCTTGTGCACCTGAGCTGCAACAAAAAGGAAGCCAGGGGTTCTTCGAAATGTGCATCGGACCCGTTCATGCCGTTGATATTCGCCTTTGAGTCCAGAATGGTTGGCACCCCCCACCCCGCCCCCCAACAGAAACTCAAGTGTTCAACGATCCCCAAGCTTATCGGGCAAGTGTGTTTTTGGTTTTGCCATTCTGCGGACCTGTGCAGGCATGCCATGTACACCTTTGGTGCCGTGGCAACCAGCAAAACTCCCTTGCAAGATCTTTCTCAACCGAGCCGCGCCTTCAGGGGAGTGCGCTGCTATACGGAGACGATCCTAAGCCACGCCACAAGGCAGACGGATGTCGCAACGATTTTCATGGGCCTCTCACACCCGCTAGTGCCCACTCTGGCTTTGCACTGGAAGAAGGACTCCGAGCAGCTCATCCGCACATAAGCTTTGCCATAATGAACTACTTGGGATGTTCCCCACTATACTAACAGTCCTTAAGAGGGATTAATTATAGTACCCCCTAGGATAATTCCTATTAAGGGCTGTTGGTATAAGAGGGAACACCCCAAGCCATAACAATCAGCGCACGACACACCTTCATTGTTGTCTTGCTGACGTCCTGAAGGAGGGCGAGAGTTAGCGAGCAGGGCACACATGTAGAGTTGAGAGTGTGCCCTAAACCCTAAACCCTAAACCCCAAACCCTAAACCCTAGACCCTAAACCCTAAACCCTAAATCGCCCCAGCTGTGCAGGAGGGAAAAAAACCCTAAACGCTAAACCCTAAACCCTAAACACTCTCATAGACCGAGGTATTGGCCGGGTGCAGGACGTCCAGATCTCCCCAAGCATGTAGATCAGGGTCGGGTGGCCGACATCGGCCTTCACAACATGAAGAATCTTGGTCGTAGTTGGGGAACATTTTACATGTTTAAGGGCGCTTAACGCCAATACGGAATAACTCTTTTAATTTCTGATACGATCCCAACCATGAACTAGGAATTACCTCGAGCGCCTGGCTGACCTACACCTGCAAGGAATGCCTGCGATCAAGCAGCGGCCCTTCCACTTTGCTTACTTGTTCGGCTTCATGGCCTGGGGTGCGTATGAGAAGCAGCAGGGATGGTACACGAAGAAGGACATGACCATGAGCGAAATCATGGCTGCACACCTGCCGGGCTGGAATCTGGTTGCACAGACCCAGCAAGACACCCTGGAGGCTGTGGACAATATCTGGCTTGCTCAAGACACGCAGAGCCTGGACTGTGTCATTGCCTTCGAGGGCACCCACACATTTGCAGAGTTCTTTGGGAACTTGAAGTCGCCCAAGAATGGATATTGTGGTTTTCCGGGCGTCCACGCAGGCTATGCAGACAAGCTGTTCTGGCTCATGAAGTACAGCATGCCCAAGCTGCGTCCGTTTCTGTCCAAGTGCAACAAGGCCGCGGCGGGTGTAGGGTTTGATTTCGGGCTTGGGGCCACAACTCAATGTGCAAAAGGGCGCTTTGCCCGCGAGGCCCAAATCATTCAGCGCCTTAGCCTAAACTTTGCCCAAGTCCAGGTGCAACAGCGTGAGTCTAGACTCCACAATGAAAAAATGGAGTCATTCCGACAGCCAGAAACTCTTCACCCTGGTTCTGTCCGCAGGTGAGTTGCACAGGCCATTCTTTGGGCGGCTCCTTGTGTGAAGTCGGCCGCTGAGATGTTGGATGTGCTGTGCCTTGACGCATGGGCGATGAAGATGTTGCGGTGTGGTAAGGATGACTAGTGTTGCCCCCTGGCGCAGGTCTTCGCCGCTTGCGCAAACTCAAACCGTACCAATGACAAGCACTACCAGGTGCATTGCGCAACGGATGTATTGGACGGCATAGTCTTCTAATTCGGAGTTGCAAGTGTAATGAACTACCGGCTGCGCTCAGTTGCAGATGTGGACGACAGGGACGTGCTGGCCCCAGCAGTTGCTTGCTGGTAGTCTGCTGCCGTTCGCTCAAAGCAAGCCTGCCAAGCCTTGAACTGAGCGTAGGAAATTAGGCATATTACTGCCTAGAACCCTGCGCCACGCAGAACCAATAGGCTAAAGCAGCCCTGAAGTGTCTAAAACCTTGGCTGTCTTTTGCAGTGAAGAAGGCAGCCTGGGCTAAGGCCCGAGCTGATGCCAAAGATCGAGCAGTTGGCCCTGTCCAGACATCACAAGTAAGGTATCACAAGGTTTGTGCGCAAGCGAAGTCTTGCCATCTTGTCCATCACGGCCGAATGACTGCCCAAGAGTGGCAAGCCAGAAGGCTTTGTGATAGCATGCGCTGGTGTAGGAGCCAGGTGGCATTTTGCTTCAGGTGTTACTGCCCCGCCCGGCGGCCCCTTACAAAAAGTGCACGTCAGCAGGTCATCGGGCGTCGGTGAACTAGCTCGCAGTGTCCTGTGCTGGACAGGAGGAGACACTACTGTTTAGCCACCACGCTGCGCACTTTTTTTTGCGGGACGGCTGGGTGGTTTTCACTTTGTGCGGGATGTCATCATGACTCACTGGAAGGGTGTGCAATGCAGAGCAGTACCACAACTGGCACTGGCGGATGTCGAATGCAAGATTCTCTTCGTGCCCATAGTCCAGATGTTTCGCATTTGTTTCGCTTTTTTGGTTTTGGCTTTGCTCTTATCTCATGCGGGCTGGCGGTGCTGAGGCAAACATGTTTACAACTACTACACAATAGCAGGTGCTGCTGGTACATCCCTCTCAAAAGCGTTGAACCTCGAAAGACACCCGGCACTGGCCCTACTGCGTCCCGAGACAATGGTTTGAAAGCCATTATCCGAAGCACTTTGCCACGCGCAATTTGAGGGGGTGGGCCCTGGGATTGTTTGGATGCTTGCTTTTGGGTCCTGTTCTAGTAGGAGTTTTTCTTCCTTGGTCCTTGGACAAGTCAGGATCAGATGGCTGTTTTGCAGGATATGGATGCAGGTTGGTTCGGGAGTGGTCTTGTGGACAGTTGGGTATGTGCGTCGCTAGCCACATTGGGCCGGGGGACGGGCAACCCCTCAACCCCAAACCCTAAACCCTCCTTGTGCGAGAGTAGGCATCGACATCAGTTTGGCCACTGTTTGTCTCAGGATGGGAGACTTGGAAGCCTTTCCTGCCCTGCGCGAGTGTGAGCGTCGAAGCCATACACCCTCTACCGAGTTACTGGCTAGCATGATATAATAGTATACTACTAATCTTTGTAATTTTTACAATTATTATGTTCTTGGTTTTAAGTTCTAAGCTAAATATATCACTATGAATCGTATGTTGTTCATCCTATTTTCCGATTCTTACGGGATATGTGGTTTGTTATATTGTTATACTAACATGGCATTACATGATATTGACATATTACTTGATGATTTTCATCATGTAATTATATTACTATGCTACTCTATCGCTATATGGCTATATTGCTATAGTACTATATTGCAAAATTGCTCTAGTACTATATTGCTATATTCCTGTATTACTATAGCACTAAATTGCTATTCTACTATACTAAGACATTGTTATGTTGCTGCTAAACCCTAAGCCCTAAGCCCTAAACACCCGAACCCTTGGATCCATCCGAACTCAGGCCAACTCCAAAGTCAGAGCCCTGCCAGGATGCGGTCTTCTTTGATGCTGCAAACGCAGCGTTCGAGGCCGCTGCTCTCAGGGTTGAGGGTTTGGAGTTTAGGGTTGAGAGTTGAGGGTTAGGGTTTTGGCTTCACCAGCAGCCTGCTAGCCCCAAATCACTGCCACGTCCCTTATTTCTGAACTTTGTATTTTCACGTGAAAATTGTGAACGGGCTTCTTATCTCAGCCAGGATTTGCATCATTCTGGTTTGTCATGAAGAGCACCGGCCAAAGCTGTCATGCAGTATCTAAGCGACGCGGGCTTCGTGTCGGTTTCCTGCAAGACTCACGGCAGGGCATGGCTGAATGGCCGAATGTCCGGCTAATGCTTGCCCATCTCCGTTTTCAAGATTTATCATATACCAGAGCAAGATGACACACAAAGCGCCCCGCTACATTCCCTGAGCAATCAGGCCGTGCCGGTTGAACATCGCATGTCGATAGCATTGTTCTAATCAGGGTGTCATGAAGCTGGTGTTGCCACCCCTGAGGTTGCAGGGGTCACGTAGAGTATCTTGGAGTGTCGAACAAGCCAAAGGGGTGTCGGACATGCTGTGTTTGTGGGCACTTTTGCCAGGTGTCTGCGCAGTCCTTGGCCGAGTATGGCTTCGGACTCACGGCCGAGGATCATCCCCGAGAACATATGGTAGAAAGCCGCTCCAGTAGAGCGCATGTTCGGGGTTCTAAACCCTAAACCCTAAACCCTAAACCCTAAACCCTAAACCCTAAACCCTAAACCCTAAACCCTAAAGGGTCTAGGGTGGAGGGTCGAACAGTCGCCTCCACGCTGTAGACCCGGTTCTTTTGTGGAGCTGGGGTTCCGATGATTGAAACTCAGAGTGGCTTAGCCAAAAGCCACAACATAACCCGCATGTCAGTTTGGCGGTTTCCAAATTCCACACCCCTGACTCTCGATGCACTTTCGTGCTTGCCGGTTTTGGAGTTAGTAGCTTGTGATGGAGGGGAAATCGATTCCATCCGGGATGGGGATTGCCTGTTGAGATGGGCACCTCGTGGTGACTGCTCGATGTTGGCATGGACTCGGTGGTATGCTATCGATTTGGGGGTTTCCGAAAATAGGGTACCCTTTTGGGGGGTCCCTTTACGGGGTGTCTATTCTATTTGGGATATAAGAGGGGTACCCCTATTTTGGGAAATACCCATTTGGGTTCTTGTTTACAGCAGGGAAGAAATCCCAGACATGCACCTCGTTGCGTGATGTGTGTTACCTGAAGCTGGGGCGAGTGCGAGGTTGCAAAATGTTACTACAGTTCCAACAACGATTGTCCACCTGGCAATGGCAGTTGGGTGTTTCAATCGGTGGCCGACTCTCTTGCTGCCAGTTCTGTCTAGACTTGCGCAGGACTGCGGCGACAGAATGCTCTACACGTACCAGGCGAAGGCTGGGTGCTTCCACACCCACATCTCATTTGCAGCAGGCGCAGTACACCTGAGATCCTGACCGAGCAGGTGCCACTAGCATGACAAGCAGATAACGTGGGAAATGAGGGCACCGCCGGCGAGACGAAGGACAGCTGCTCAGCTGCCAGTGCCTTCCAGCGAGTGCACTGGGATCTCTAGAAGGACTAGGTGCTCTTGCATTCTGCGGGCCTGATCTCCTCTCTAAGTGCGGCTGGCACCAGCAAATGTGCAGCTGCTTGCGCTACAGGACAAGCATGCCACTGCGGACCTGACCGCCAAAAGTAGAAATGTCGCGAAGCAGGTCTACTTCTTTAGACGCCATGGTCTTGTCCTTTCGACAATGACCCCCATGCCTGGGCAGTGTTAGGGCATCCTGGTGTCGAAGACCTTTGGCGGCACCGGAAGAATGGAAGCTGGCCATGGCAGTGATGTCAAGAGGCGTCCTCTGCAGGCGGAGAAAGAAATTGGGGTTTAGGGTTTAGGGTTTAGGGTTTAGGGTTTAGGGGGATGGCTTGAAACGATGAAGTTCTCCCCAACTTGCTGTTGGTGGGGGACCTGATTGAGCAGACACAACTTTGAGAATCTTGTTAGCACGTGCAGGTTATTCGGACGGCGGGCTACAAGATCAAAATCCAACCCAGTGTTTGCATCATCTAGCCTGCCTCATTCCCAGCCTTGTTCCCGCTGCTGTTCTGATTCCTTGCAAGTGGAATCCCTAATTTGCAATGGATTCGATGGCCGATCCCATTCAGGCCGGGTGATGACGCTGTGTGTTCAGGGCTCAGTAGCAGAAATCGTTCCTGTGTTTCCTGTATTCTTTCTCACTGGGATTCAGATAGGTGGGATGCTGCAGTTCAGGATCTGTCATGACAGCAGCACCACAGCTGTCAGAGTCTCTTGTGCCTCCCATGTTCTTCTCGTGTAGGCTTCAGTTGCTTTCGCTCTTGGCGCGGCGGTCGGAGCCCCACAATTGCCATGAACCTCCGGCAGTACTGATCAAGGGACTACAGGAGGGACCCTTGAAGGGACCCTAGGGTCTATTTCGGGGCTCTTTGGCGGCTACTTAGGTATACAGGGACTATAAGGAATATATATATATATACATATATACATATATATATATATACATATACATATATATATATATACATATATATATATATATACATATAGATATATATGTATACATATATATATATATACATATATAGAAAAATGTAGGGGTTGTAGGGGTCCCTTCTAGGGGTCCCTCCTTTCTCAACCCTTAAGCGCCAAGGGGTGCTTATGAGCATGTATGCGCGTTTGACGTGGTCCCCTGGTGCTGTTTTGTCCTCGCGCCGCCCTCAGAAGTAGGGACGGCAGCTATCCAAAGTAGGTATTATCGCCTTTGTCATCGTTGGGCTTGCGTTGAATTCCCTCGGTTGCATTTTGGTGTTTACGTTGGTCACCCCTTAAACTGAGGAGGGAGTGACATCCATATCAAGCTGCTAAGGCCGGAATCCTTGAAGCTGGGAAAGGCAGGGCGCGCTGAATGCTTTCCTAGGCTTTGGGTATATTGCACATTAAAATTTTCCTTGTTTGGGTGTAAAAGTTGGATGTATGAGGGACATAAGATATAGATATTTGTGAAACGGGTTTAGAGGCCGACCGAGTTTCCCAACTTTGCACACATGAGCAGCATGGGCAGACCAATATACTTCCAGGCTTGCAAGATGGCGAATCGGAGTCTCGAGAGCTCATCCCTTGGACTGGAGACGACGTAAGACCGCGGCACAGCCTCATGAGGTAGGGTTTAGGGTTTAGGGTTTGGGGTTGAGGGTTTAGGGTTTAGGGTTTAGGGTATCACACTGCAACACCAAGGCACCTCCCAGCTCCAACACCGACTGTGCCCGCACGGGCGCCTGGTGAAGGCTGGGGTCTGCCAGTCTGCAAGTGTCAAGGGAACATTTCGGGGCTTTCCAAAAATCGGGGTACCCTGTTTTGGGGGTCCCTTTAAGGGGTTTCAGAGTTGTATTTGGGGTATAATGGGGTACCCCGATTTTTGGGACCCATTTCTGCTCACACATCGGTCTTGGCCCGGGCTGAGGCATTGCAAGCTCCCATGCTTGCGCCGTCCCTTGCAGCAAAGCATGGGACTG